AGTGGAACAAGTTTTGCAGCAAGCCAGCATGTGAAACCATGTTAGTGTGGTGGTGTTTCCAAATTAATGCTTCTCAACACACTGAGCTCATATCTGCTTGCAGCCAGTCAGGCAGAGAGACACCCCCTCCCCAAAAAAGATAAAGTTTAAAAGAAATCCCACTCCCCAGCACTGCACAGGCTGGACTTCAAAGGGATAAATTCTCTCCACAGGACCTGCTCGATGCTAAGTGCACAGCAGGAACTCCTTACCCCCGCACAGGAATGCTGGCTGCTCTCGCTGCAGTCATCACTTCATCGAATCTCTCCAAACTCTCCTCTATGGAACAGTTGATGTTTTTCTTAGTGAAGAGCTCAGATGCCGCTCCAAAGATTGACACTTCTCTGGCCCCTGCTGCCACCTGCCAAGTGAAAGCATCAATTAAAGCGAGCTGATTTCTCTTACAAGGCAAATGACAAGCGCAACCATGACTACAGTTCTCTCATTTTATAAAAAATGTTTTTTCCCCAATTCTTCCCCAAATAACCCAATTCTTTTCTCGGTTCATTTTACAGCAAAAACGTAATGACACATTCAAATTTGTCTTCAAAGGAAGCGTGAAGTTACAGATGCAGCAGTAAAGCTGCATTTGCTGGATGTAGTCAGGAGAGCTGTGGGACATGCGGATAAGACTGAAAGCATTGCTATCAATTAAAACAGATTACTCTTTTTTTTTATAATAGAAAACATATCAAGGTATTTTCTAATATAAACAAGAGGTTTCTATTTCCCCGGCAAAATGATCCCTTGCAAATGAAACTACCAGATGAGACTGCTGCCTGTCAGAATGAAAGATGCATTTCCCACCCTTCACTGCAGTCACCCTTCACGCTCAGACACTGCCAGCTCTTACCGCTGCCTGAAATCCTTTCAGATTAGGGGTCAGGACAGGATAACTGATACCAGGCAACTTATTAATTCCTTGCATGACTTCAGTGTGGTCAGCCATCTGCAAAGTAAACAAGGAAAGGTTTCTACAGGTGACAACATTCGCTTCAGCAAAACATAAAGTAATTTTTAAAATGGGAACAGAAATATTTAGGAATAAGAGAAATAAGCCTCTAAAGCGCCAAAAGCATCGCACCCTGTGAAGGATCATAGTTCAGTCTCCCAGCCAAGCCAGCGCCAACACATGCACAACCGGCTGTTTGCATTTGAGCTGTACGTTTGCTCTTCCGCAGGGTCCAAAGGGAAGGTCCGGGACACTGCAAGCTCTTTTATTTGGCTTTGCTGCTTCTTACCTGGTTACAAGCCAAAGTAACAAGGATTTTAGAGCAAACGGAATCTTTTCATTGGATTACTAGCTATTATTAGGCATATTATTAGGCATCCCTGGAGGTGTTCAAGGCCAGGTTGGACGGAGCTTGAGCAACCTTGGCTGGTGGGAGGTGTCCCTGCCCATGGCAGGGGGTGGGACTGGATGATCTTCAACATCTTTTCCAACCCAAACCATTCTGTGATTTCGATAACACAGACTTGTAAATCCTATTTGAATACTGACCTGAGGAACCCACTTGGGGGAAACAAAGCTGGTGGCCTCTATAACCTGAAGCCCCGTCTCTGACAGCATATTGATTAAATTGATTTTCACCGGTGTTGGTACAACATTCTAAGAAGAAGGAAAAAAACCTTGAATTATTATTTTCACAATAAAACTTTCCACCACTGCAAAAAAAACCCCTTCATCTTTCAACATCAAAAAGCGGCATTCATAACAAAGACCCTGTCGGCGGGGCACGTTCCGGGTCTTTCGTTAGAGAGACACCCCCCGCCCCGTG